AGTGGGTTGGCTGCTAGCGGCTGAATCTAGATGGGGTTTATGTGACTAATGCTGTTGTGTAGGACTTAACAGTTCCCTGTACTGGGAGAAACTGTATGGTGCACCCTGTCAGGTCCGCACTGCCCAAGAGGAAGTTTTTCTGTGATTCTGTAATCAGTTCTGTTTGAAGTTCTTGCTTGATTAGACCCAACAGCTTTGTCTTGTGCAGCATTTTTCAAAAAAGGCTAAAATTAGGTGAAATGTTCTCTGTAGATTTGTGTGGCACTGGCATGGGGAGTCTTTAAGAAGTAATGAATTCCCTTTTAACTTATGCTAGATGCTTTATATGCTTTGCTGCCATCTTTTCCCCATCTTGCTCTTCTGTGACTACTGCGATTATACTGCCCCAGTTAACACTGTTAACACTCCTGCGTTCTGTTGCAGCAGATGGTGAAAGAGAAGGGATTAGAAAATGATCACTACCTGCTTATTTCTATTGATCCAAGTTCACAGCAATTCGCTAGTTCACTGTAATGTGTGTCGCCGTACCGTTAGGGCTGTTGCCTAGCTGTCCTAGAACAGAACGGCATACATCTGTGGTGTAAGTACTGTCTGCTTTACGGGTACTGTGCCCATTACTGCTGTAAATATCGCTGCTGGAGCACTGAAACACTGGTGAGAAATCATAGGAATGATGGGACCATTTTTAGTGTAAATTGGAGAGTTTTGTGTGAAGGCAGTCACCAGCACGGGAAGGGATAAGGTGCGGTGAATGACGGAACGGGTGTCAATGGTAAGCTGAAAGCACAACCTGATTCCTGGGGACGTGAATTGCGTCTTGGGACTGTCCTCTGATTCTGACTCTGTCAGAGTGCAGCCCTCTCAAATATTCCAGTGAATTTAGGACCTTTTAAATTACAGGAATATCTTAAATTTATGTGAACTTTCATGATATTGTTAATACTGAAAAGTGTCTTGTAAGTTATACAAACAAGTTTTGCACTCACAGTTCAGGCTTCTCCAGAACTTGACAGTGCAATATTATAGATTACTGCAGAGGACCCATGTCCTGCTCTCAGCGACTTCGTTAATACAGGATTGGCTTACTACACTTTTGATATACAAAATAAGTGATGTGGGGTTATTTACTTTTCTTATTACTGAAGTCTATAGCCATAAGACATATCTGTAAAAACCTTTTTTTTTCCTAAGTAGTGAGTTTTATTGTGGTAACATAAAAAAGTATCTTCTCAGTTGAAATTAAAGGATGTTTTTCAACAGCCTGTGAGTCATCACCCCTAGGACTGGCAGGAGGTTTTTCAGTTATCACTGGAGCACTTTCTAGCAAGCATGGCTTGTCAGGCCAGGCATTTCGGCATGAGAGCATGGTACAAGAGCTGTTGGCCTGCCCCGTCTGTTTCCCTCCCAGTTTACAAGCATTAACGACATATGGCTCTTGAGCACTTATTAATGAGCAGATATCAAGGGGGTACCCACCAGGGTTGTGTTAACGGGGGAATGCTGTGCGTCACCCGTTCCCTGCTGGGGGTGGAACTGGGCCAGCTGGGCTGGCACCCTGCTCGCCTGGGAGCTGCTTGCAATAATCCTTTCCTCTTTCCCCCAGCCCTCCTGCTTGGCTTTTCAGGGTGTTTGCCATGTATCTTGTGGTTCTCGCCCTCATGTAGATTTTGGTATGGGATGTGTAGGGTCAGGAAGACTGGCCACAGCAGGATCTGTTGAGTTCTGGGTGCGGCACTGCAGGAGAGACTGGTGGGAAGCCTTGGGAAGACAGCAGTGAGGAACTTGCCTCCAAAGAAGGATTAGGTGAGCTGGGAGCATTGGCATAAAATCAGGAAGACTGAGTTGGAGGACTGTTATTTTCCATGGGAAGACATTGTGAAGAGTAATGAATGACCTGTTCATAAATTGCAGCAAGGAAGCTTCAGGAATTGACATTAGGAAAACTTCCAGTGTTAAAGCTAGCTGAGCGCTAAATAGTTGAGGAGAGTGTGAAATTTTTGGGCATCACTGGAGAGTTTTAAAAATATTAACATCTGTCAGGAATGACATCAGTATGGTTGATTCTGACTGTGGAAAATTTGGTCTTCCTCTGATCCTCGAGATGTTTCTGTATCAGTTCAGGAATGTTTGGAGCAAGAACAATTGAAAACTGATTCTTTGTTAGCACTGAAACTTTGAGATCTATTTGAAAGGTTTCTTAGCAAGACTGGCACCAAGTCTTTGAGACTGCTTAGGCAAGAGGCAAAACAGAACATGACAACTCAGGAGAATGGATGTACAGAACATGGGAAGTCATCAGTGGAAGAATTTTTTGGATCTGGATGTGAGCAGACTGGTCACGGGAATGGCAAGAATATGAGTCCTCCATTGCTTGTGAGCACAAAATTGCAAGGGTCATGGTGTAGCCGCTGTAGTGGAGTATTAATCATTGCTCTAAGTTATTGAGCAGCTTTATGAAGCTGTGCCGTTCGGAGGATGCCCCATCACCTTGCCTCTGATCGGAGGGAGATGCTGCGAGGACAGGCAGACCCTGCAGAGGAGCCAGTCCCACAGCCTGCAGCCATCCAAAAAAGTAGCCCAGCTCCTTCCTCCCAGCTGCCTGCTCGCATCTCTCGTGCTTGTCTGGCTCTTCCTTGCTTGTTGAACTGCCAGAAAAACAGTCCATCAAAAAAAGGGAAGGTTTTCCTTACAACTTAATGAGCTAAATTGGCTTCCTGGCTTGGCATAAATGAAAGGGAAGGATGGCGTGTGGGAGAGGAGATCTACACTGTCACTTTTAGTGGCAGAGGCAGCAAACTGTTAAGCTATCTTATTTGTCTCCATGCTATGATCTATTTTTTGTAACTTTGACAGCATGGAAGTGATTCACTGAAATATTTTAATTTCTTAAACATGTAATATGCTCCTCAAGTGCAAGTTTTAAGTATGTACCGGAATTCATGACTGTGCTTGTGGATACTGTGTCAACAGAATTGACAGCTGTTGTGAAGAAAATTAATCATTGCATATATAGCTCACTTTGTATGTTTAATGCTCAATTGTTGAGCACATCTATCTTGCCCCATGCCCTTAGTTTTCCAATAAAGCATTTGATTAAAAAAACCAAAACCAGGGAGGATTTTCCTTTTTTTTCAGCAGTCCTGGGCTATCAGTCATTTCCTTTTTCTTGTAATCTCAATGAGTCACTTTCTAGATGTTGAAAAAAGATTGCAAAATACTTTCTGTGTAAGGGAACTCAAATTTCATTTGAGTCTTAAAACCCGAAAGAATATGAAGACTGCCTGGAAAATCCCCCTTTTGGTCCCTCTGAATTCCCAGAAAACAGAAGAACGTAGGAAGTCATGACACAAGGTTTTGGTAATCTGTTAAGCAGTTTGAGGGTGTAACAGAAGGACAGCTCTGAATGCTAGATAAAGACCTAAAAGTTCTGCAGGTTTTTTTTTTTTAATGTACAGAATTCTTAGATCTTGAGAAGAAAATAAATGGTTTGAGGAAATGACAGGATGACAGAATAGATTACATCCTATGATTATATTATTGATCTAGTTTATATTTTCAGTAATAGACTTCCAGTTCTTTAAGTGAATTGGTAATTTTCTTCTACTTTGAATAGCTAGGATTCAAGTTTTGAAGAAAAGTCAGTATAAACACCTGTTTCTTAGAAAGGGCATTGAGAAAGATTTTTTTTTTTTTTTTTTTTTTTTTTTGTCTCGGTGACTAGAGTATTTTCCTACTGATTTGACAAAAGCATCTGAAGCATCAGTGACAAGTCCTTTCCCACCTATTAGATTTTAAACCATGCTTCTCATGATGCCGGA